CGGTGGTGTAGTGGTAAGCGTGATTACCTCTCACCCCAGCAGGCCTGGGTTCAATCTCAGCCGGCGCCGCCGGGATGTTCTGAGGCATAACATCTCTGATCACGCCTTCCTTCGGATGGGAAGTAAAGCCGTTGGTCCCCGGTTCATGAGTTGATGGGTCGATAGGTAGGGTCCAGGTGTGGGAGCTGCCTTCCTGGCACGTCGGTAGCATTGGTGCTCAGCACGGAAAACAAGATCGACGGAAAAAAACAAACCAAAGGAAAAAAAAAAATGGGGATATGTTCACGATCTGGAACTTTTCATGATTCTGGGTGGATATTAGGATTTTAATAATTCTAGGAGTTTGAAAATTTCACATTCCTCACAGCCTTTCAGAATTCTTCCCACAGTTTAAGGATCAAGATCTTTTGGAGTGGATTGAGTAATTACCCTAGTAGCTCGCTTGTCACAAATCATTTGTAGAAACTTATATACGACTTATTTCAGTCATAAACAAGTTGCTGTAACTTATTGTGATGAAAGTGTGCTACTCGGGTACCTTTTAATTCCGTTATAATAGCCTGTCTTTTGATAGATACGCGTAAAGTACTCGTTTGATTTTGGAAACATACGAATTTTGACTTCTTAGCTTTCCACAAATATTAATAATTGCAAACCTGATCATCTTATTATGTCAAATTATCCGTCACAATTATCCGGACAATCTTAAAAATATACTAATCAACAGAGTTTAAAATTTTAAAATTTTAAACAGGCAGTTTACATTAAGGACGTGTTGCGTAAATTGAATGGACACTGTATTTCGTCCACTACAAGTAGACTTCATCAGTTCCAAGTACAAGCACCAGTACTTAGACTCAGTCTTCGAGGTTCGATATAATTAAAGTTTAATGTTGTTTTAAAAATTGTTACGTGTAGTCCTAATTGATTCTGGGTATTTGAGTTGTAAATTCAATATGTTTTCTATGACGCGTATTTGACATCCTGCTACGGATGACCAAACGTAAAAATAGGGATTTCTGTTTCAACCCTGCCTTTCCTCGCAAAGCGTAAGCCGCAAAATTACTTGTATCCTAAATTTAAGTGTACACACCAAATTCTAATTTTGATGTTCGGTAAATTTTTTACGGTTTTGATCTGTAAAATTTAATTTCTACTGAGTGATCTGTAAAATTGCTTTAATTTTCTTCTGTCTGTCAAATATCTACAAGTTTTCGGTAATTCCCATGAAAATATTACTGAAAATTTGCATCTATTTTACCGATGTAGTTTGTAAGCCATGAAATGACATTTAATCTAAACTGTTCAGTAAAAGTTTTACCGATTTCCAGTGAACAATTTATAAATATTGACGAAAAATGTAAACAATACAGGAGTTCAGTAATTATTACTGAACGCTTCAGTTAAAATCACGCCTGTCAAATCTTCATCTATTTCGTATGTTAAGCGGTGTAATTAAATTTTAAGAAAATCGTGCAGAAATATTAGCAGAAAAAAAACTTGTAAACCATTGAAATGGAAGATGTGTCCGATGAGATTAGATGTGCTAAGTAAGGGAGTAAGGGGGTAAGGGATCTTTTCAGTGAGTACTATTTATATTATCTAAATGTTTTCATTTTTTAGCACTCAAATAAAATGGCTGGCGATCGCTGACTCGTTGGATAAACAGATTGACGAATTGCATTTAATAAAAGATATAAACAACAATTTATATTGTGCATGATTTGAACGGAACAATTCCCTATATTTCACTGCTTTTCAGTAAAAACTATCGAAAGAACTGTAATTTTTGGCAGATGACGGCCTTTCTATTTTTACTGATTATTTTGTAAATTTTACCGAACTTCGGTATTTAATGATGAGCTAGTCGGTATTTTTTGACAGTTGAGTATACATTGCAAGTTTACTGATCGTTCAGTAAACCAAACTTTTACCGAACTGATTACCGAATGTTCAGCTGTTTGAAAGTCAGTAAAATGTTTACCGACAACTGTAAAAACAACTTGGTGTGTATGGGCGAATCAAAAACACAGACCGTGAAAATATGCAGTGAGAAAGAAGATCAGCTCTAATTCAAGTTTCAGCCAGTTAATCTTTGACCATTTTCTACGATTAATTAAAATTAATCTACATCAATTAGTGCACATTCACGCCTCTTCGGACATTACCATTATCGCAGCTTCTTGATTATTGTACACAGTACACATACTCATATTCAGAACGACATATGTTTTTACGCTCTGTTGAGAAGCAATCCCGGAACCATTGTGATAATGAATGGAGCAAGGGCGATCAATACGGTGTATGGCTTTTGTGTGAGAGCAATTTTATTTCCGGTATAATATTATATTACTACTGGAGATATTACTGCTGAGTTAATAGTTTTAAAACCACAAGCACCGTAAGTGGGAAATCATACGAAAATCAGGTATACATCAATTTAAGGTTAATCGTTTGTTGCTTGCCTGTTTTGGAGCACACAGATCGCCATTCGGTATGTATATAGTAGGTATCTAACAATTTTTACTTGGGAGTGTCAACCGGTCAATTGATTTCTATTCCAATTTTAGTGACTTTAAATCCGAGGTTGCAAATGCTGATTTTTCTATAAAATATGGTTTTCCGAGTAATGAAATCATTAGATGCTATGATGATGTTTGTACTTATAAATTACAAGGTTATAAATTATTTGTTCAACTCATAAAACCTAACAATTTCGCTTTCACAGGGTCACAATCAGCGGGTTTAAAATGTTCATTTGCTCACTTACTAACTAACTCACTCGATCATAATAATCATACATTAAAACCTCTTCTTGTAATTTACAAGCACAGAATATAATCAATACATTTCACAACACGGGGGGAGATACCCCTCACCATCCCTCTCCAACGGGGGAGTTTGGTAAAGAGAGATAATCAAACCGATTTGTACCTTCATTCATAAAAGTTGTCCTAGCTCGCTTTCTACTCTCTATATATACAATTTCACACTGCCGTACTCTAACGGAACTATCAATTCTATACTTTCATCTCCTCATCTATCGTATAAAAATTGCCACTCTAGTCTGTTATTTGAAATTAGCATCTTCAACTATGTAAATCACGAGGTAAATCGTTGACTTCACGTAGAAGTAATATAAAACAAATAGTTAAAGTATTGATAATTTATTTAAAAATAGTTGATTAAATTAAAAAAATCCAAGTGGGAATCCCATAGAAGATTAAATCGGGTTCGTACAGGTTTGACGTGGTGTAGGCCAACCATTGAATATCAAGCCGATTTGTCGCGAAACACCAGTTAAACTATGTAAAATATGTAAAACTAAATCAATAATGTTTCGAGCCACATAGATTTGATATTCAACGCTTAAATCCTAGTGAACGGAGTTTGGCGCTGATTGCAATTACGAATCTTATTTATATGTAAGAGGAGTTGGGAAGCTTATTTATAAATAAGATATTTTCGATAGGATGTGTTATTTCCTTTAAATAGCGTTATAATATTGTGAAAGATGTGCGAATTTCATTCACTACTGGTAGACTTCCTTACTGTTAATCAAGCAGTATTCAAGACGGAAAGCTATTGTCTGCGACGTACGCATATCTTGCAAAAGATAAGCAATCATATCGGAATTAAATGGAAATTACTCATCTAAAAACTCTTCAAGTGTGGCGTCGATAAACTTGAAAGTATATGGAATCATTTTTTACTTGAACATATTACCAAACCATAAAAAAACATTGGTTTGCATCTTCTAACCCGTACCATTTAGGGGCTGTTCATTTTTTTTTATTCTTGACCCCCCTCCGCCTGCGTAGACAATTGTCCATACAAGATTTTTTAAACGGTCTACGTAGTTTATGAATAGCCCCTTAGAAGGGAGGAGCTGACCGACCAAAGGTTAGGTACGCTACAAATGAGAAGGGTTATCTAAAGAGGAGGGAAAATCAAAAATTGATCAAAAAACGGTACGTCCGTAAGGTAAAAAATAGAATCGATTTATACAATTTTGATTTTTTTTTATCATCTTTGATCTCACATATCATATTTGCTCTCACAGGTATCTCGTTACTATATCAGAAAACTGAATTGTGATGTTTTCTTATCTGATATTCAGCATACAGCTAAATGAAATTGAAAATGCTTTTTTTTCTATCTCCATTGAACAAAGAGATCTAAAATGTATCTAAGTCAATCTACCTGTTCCTAGAAATTAAAAATAAAGCTCCAACTCTGAGGTACGGGTTATGTCGGCTTCGACAATACCTTAACCTTTTATCGTTAGGGGGTAAACAAAGTCCTAGAGCACTCAAATGTGGCCAATAGATGCTCTGAAACACAATGTATCCACATGCCAAACTTGAGCTCTTCAGAACTTTGTTTGCCCGCTGACGATAATAGAATAAGGTATTGCCGAAGCCGTCATTTACCCTACATACCAACCAAAAGACGTCAAATAAAAAAAAAATCAATTTAAACAAAGCCATGAGTAATTGTAACCAGTTTAATAGTATACACTGAGTTCAATTTATCATGCTACCTGAGTCCACATCATGGCAAAAGGTGAATCCTCTCGAGGCACAATTATGTCACGCAAGAAATTGTACACTTTCTCGCTCGAAACGGGTTGAACGATCCATTTAGTTGCGTAGCGGTATAAATTGTAGATATACCGCCCCGACCGAAAGAACCTGCACCACACCCAGTGCAGCGAGTGTGCCTGTTCATATCGTTCGACTATGGCTGTATTCATATTGCATGGTGTCTACCCGTTTTCTTCGTTGTTTCGAGAGTGTTCAATGTACATCCAAGATTTCACACCGTATCAACAAACGCGACGATGATGCTCAAATGTGATTCGTCCCTCCTGCAATAACTGCCGTATGATACGTAATCCGTGAATCACTCGAGCGAGAGCGCTCAACAAGCTATTAGGTGGAATTCGTGATAGAATTCCTAGAAACACATGACCGTGCTTTTTTGGGGGGTTTGCTCACCTTTTGATTTTTCTCCTCGAAGACCCTCGAATGAACAGCCGGTGTTCAGCAGTGGTGTTTCAATCTGATGTAATCCAGTTTTTTTTTTTCTCATTTAATTGTCACGCAAGTTTCTTCGAAAGCGGGCTCTACTGTTTTTATTTTGTTGTGTCGCAGGTTGAAAGATGGTTCCAAAAATGCGCCAAACGCGGGATAACTTTGCTCTCACGGTTCGTTTGCTTTATGTAACTGAAATTTTTCGATAATTTATTGGTGTTTTTGGGATTGTTTCCTTTTCTGCTTCGACGACTATAGAAAGATGAATTCCACACTCGGTCTGGTTTGGTATATTAATTGTCGACCAGTTTCACTGCGTAATCGAAATCAATTGAGGTGTGTTCTTCTTTTACACTTGTGAAATCCAAATTTAGCTCTCTGAAGCCTATATATCGATATACGACTGTGAACACAAACAACCGCCTTGGACGGCGAATCGGCTGACTGGAAGCAACGAGGGCAAAATGAAATTTATTTGTATTTTCCACCGATAAGGAATTCTGCCTTTTTATCACTTGATGTGTGATATTTTCCTTTTCACTCTTCGCCAATGGCTGGCTTGTTTCGAGTTACAAACCGTCAGCTTTAATTTTTCGCTACAGATAAGCACCAACACCAACGGGACGTAGAAGCGCAACTCAAGGCGTAAATCATTTTCAAGCGACGACGACGTCCTAAGACAGATGATTAAGTCACTTCAAGCACACTGCCAAGCATTCAAATGCAGAAATTCGCTAATGTCCGCAGTGAAGATCTTCGACTCGTTTATTTTGCATAAATGTTGGTGAAACACAAAACTACCACAAAAAAAAAATAGATGATGAAGCTGAATATCAATTATTCATAGCACACACTGAACCAGCTCTCGACACTAATCAACATTCAGCACATTCAAAAGCGTGAAGCATCAACTGCTCACACCGACTGACTATTTGGTCTGCTTCAATTAACTAGACAAACAATCAATTTCACATCAGTACAGCCTAACCGAGTAACACTTGTCACATGTTTCCTCTATGGGATCCGCTTTTAACTCTAACGAGTACCGGCACCACACTACCACACAGGATATGTAAGATTCTGATAAGTGATGATAACGATAAAGCACGACCATTAGAAGCACACCCGGGTTTTTCCTTTAAAGCACAAGTGACGACAAATCTTCCTAACTTTCAAAACAACTGTTTCCTCTCCTGGCACTGAAGAGTGACGCGATCATCTACTTTCGTGAATAGAGCGATAGTAGTCGTTAAACCCTTCAATCGTTCAACAGGTTCTACACAGCGCGGCAGTGTTTTGTATCCACACAAGCCCCGTATTCGACACCAGTAGCGACTCTTAAAACAACCGTTCGCGACACATTGCTGTTGGCGAATGAACAGCCAGATGAGCGCGCTGAGCTGGCCATCGAAAGAGTTGGCGACGGTATATCACATTTCTCAGTCGGATGAACCAAAATGTGAGTTCCAGTCGCGCGTGTGTGTGTGGATAGATGTTTCAATAGTTTTATAACCAGTAGAGATACGAAATGGATGTGTGAGAATACTAAGGCGTAAAAAGCGGTTGCTGGTGTTACTCTTCTCTGTTGGTCGGTTTGAAGAAAAGTGTAGTCATTTTGTAAAATTGAAACTTTTTCGACGGTAGCGACGGTAGGACACTTTCAAATTTGATCGAATAAATAATAAAGTAAATTTAAGAATCGATCGAATGTTTATCCACAACTTGTAACTGGGACTAGAAACTGAACGATAGTATAAAAAAATTAAAGGGTTGTGTCCTAGACACGACCGCAGTATGACGTAGAACCACAGGAGGAAAGATTGTTGATGAGTGGGGGGGGGGGGGTTAGGAGAGGTTGTTGTGAAGGGGGGAGGGGGAAATTGTTGTGAAGGGGGGAGGGAGAGGTTGTTGTGAAAGGGGAGAGGGAGAGGTTGTTGTGAAAGGGGAAGGGTGTTTACATAAATTACACCGTGATCCACCTTTAGCCGCTGATTTGGTCCTGCTTACTGCAGGACCAAGTGCCACGCCGTCCGAAGCGACAATGAGCAAAAGCAGTTAGTTTAGTTAGTTTTTTTTTTAGTTTAAATGATCTTTATTTTAGTTTAACTTGGACGATTACCATATAAATTTTTACTAAGTGATTTAATTGCTTTCTTCATCTTTAGGTATGGGCAAAATTTAAAATTTGTTTTACAGGATTAGTCCTAGACTTAGTACACGGTCGACCACCTTGGTGGGATTGGTTTGTTTTGTTTTTAGAATTTGAAGAGAAACTACTTAATACTACTATTTACAGCTTAAAACTAACCTACTCTACTATATACACTTAACCTACTATGTACAAATTGCTTATTAAAGCATGTTCAGAAAGATTGCATTTTTGAATAAATTTAGTTGTCATATCATCAATTTTGGAATCTACTTTGGGAATTTCTGCCTCTTGATGGAGGTCTGCTATTCTTGTGTCGAATGGACGATCTAGGATCATCCTCAACACTCTATTCTGTGCAACCTGGATTTTGTTCCTGTGGGTCTGAGCGCACGATTCCCACACCGGGGCGGCATAGAAGATCGCGGGGGCTATGATCTGTTTGTAAACAGCCAGTTTGTTTTGCCTTGAGAGGCGGGATCTGCGGCAAATGAGCGGATACAAACACCTAACCAAGGCGGAGCACTTAACTAGGGTTTTCTCTATGTGCGAGCGGAACAGGAGCTTCTCATCGAACAACATCCCGAGATAAGTAACATCAGTGGACCACTCGACCCTTGTACCATCCATTATTACGGTACAGGAGGGAGACGGTTTAAGTTTTAATGATTGTCTGTGAAGGAACATGATCGCTTGGGTTTTCGAGGCGTTGATTTTGATTTTCCACGTGGTGGCATAATCAGTAAAGGTGTCAAGGCATCGTTGGAGCTTGTTCGTAATTTCACGAGGCATCCTACCCTTGACAGCTATCGCGGTGTCATCTGCAAACAGAAAGAACACGCAACCGTCTCCTAGAGGAGGGATGTCTGACGTGTAGATGCTGTAAAGCAGTGGTCCCAGCAGACTCCCTTGCGGAACACCTGCTGGGATCGGAAATTGTCCCGAAAGGGAACTATTCAACGACACCCTGAACGACCTTTGCTGGAGATAGTTACGGGTGATTTTCACAAGGTATGGTGGAAAGTTGGAGTTACAAAGCTTGTATATAAGTCCGTCGTGCCAGACATTGTCAAACGCCTTTTCGACGTCTAACAAGGCCATGGCTGTGGACTTGGATACAGCTTTGTTACTCCGGATGTTATTCATCACCCGCACTAGCTGATGATTGGTGGAATGCCCCTTACGGAACCCGAACTGTTCCGGAAGAAGAATGTCATGTTCCTCCACAAACTTGTTTAGTCGGCTGAGGATCAATTTTTCGAACAGCTTGCTCAGCGCTGAGAGCAGGCTAATCGGTCTGTAGCTTGACGGTAGTGAAGGGTCTTTCCCAGGTTTGCGGATCGGGATGATTTTTGCCACCTTCCAGATGCTTGGAAAGTAGTGCAGCTCCAAGCATCTGTTGAAGGTGGCAGCTAGCAGCGAGTGCACCCTCGGGCTGAGATTTTTCAACGCTAGGTTGAATATTCCGTCAAACCCGGGAGCCTTCATGTTCTTACTGTATTTCAGCGCTGAGCAAATTTGTTCCTCTGTAATCCGTTCTTCTGGAGGGACGGCACAAGGGGAGGCATCTAACGTCAGGACGCACTGCGCAACCTGGTTCTCGAGTGGACTTGGGATTTTAGAGCCAAGCAAATGCGACTGGGCAATGTGCTCCCCAATCGCATTGGCCTTCTCTTCGTTGGTGATAAGCCGTTCGTCATTGACTCTAAGTGGTGGAATGGGCTTGGGGTGAGACTTCAGCACCTTGGCAACCTTCCAGAATGGTCTGGAACGGTCGTCCAGGTTCTGAACGAGCCGCCCGAAACTCTCGTTCCGGATTGAGACCATTCTGGAAGCGATCTGCCGATTCAGATCGACCATTTCGTATTTACGCTGCAGATCCCCAGTCCGCTGAAACTGGCGTCTACGAACATTTCTGAGCCGAATCAAGAGTTTGGTGTGGGAATCAATTGCTTGAAACTTACCCCTCACAGGAACTCGTCGAACGCACTCTTCGTCAGCCACGGATATGGCTTGATGGAGACCCTCCAGGGCCCGGTCGATGTCCTCCACTGTGTCGAGCGGTGGGTTGTCGTCGATGTGGCGGTCGACCACGCGTCGAAACTGGACCCAGTTGACTCGATGATAGTCCTTCCGCTGGCACGGTGCAGGGGCCACGTTGTAGCCCAGCTCGGTCAGCACCGGTTGGTGGTCCGAACTCAGGTCGTTGACGGCAACCGGCTTGGCTAATCTGGTGTTTGCCAAGAACAGGTCCAGCGTCGATGGGTTGCCCGTCGGTGATGTGAAGGTTGGTTCGTCCGGAAACCAGACGGAATAGAGACCATGCTGGGAATGGTCGAATAGCAGGCGGCCGTTCTGGTTCTGCTGGTAGTTCCGCCAGGCCTCGTGCCGGGCGTTCAGGTCCCCTCCGATTACGAAGCGGGCATTGGTGCGGGTTATGATGGCAAGGTCGTTCTTGAACTGCTGTGCTGTACCATTGCTAACGGTACATTGCCGGGGACAGTAGGCGGCGATGAACCGGATGTTTCCGGTCGATGTTTCCACCTCTACGCCGACGGCCTCGATGATGGAAGTGCGGTAGTGGGGTAGGGTGCAGTACTTGATGCCTTTCTTGATGATGACCGCGACACCGCCCCCCCTGGAGCTGGTGCGATCAAGCCGGACAATGCTGTGGTCGGGCAGCCAGAAGCTGTCACCGGTCTTGAGGTGGGTCTCGGTGAGGAGGCCCATGTCGATGTCGTGCTTGCGGAGGAAGTCTGCAAGCTCAATGTTTTTCGCCCCTACGGAGCGAGCGTTCCAGTTGGCGATCTTTATGGGTTCACGGTCCATAATTAGCGACGAAGGAGATGATAGCTTGGAGCTGTTGTGTTCTTGTTGCGCAGGTGCGCTTGATGATGATGGCCTGGGCCAACAGTGTGACGATCTCATCCGTTGACAGCGGAGAATCGTCTGTAGCTTCACCGGTTGTACCGGCCAATCCCGGAGCAGGGGGATCCGTCGATGGGCCGGAGGCTTGACTAGGTACTGCAGCGGCAGCCGACTGGGCAGCAGCCAACTGTTGGTTGAGCGGGAGCGGCGCCAACACTGGAATTGGCCGTGGTTGGACCGGTGATAACGGAGGAAAGTTCTGCGCGTTGTTTTCCGGGACCTTCTTGCGACCGGGCTGGTTGTTGGACGAGGCCTTCTTCCGGATCTCGGCGTATTCGGCCCGCTTCGGACAGGCCTTACTCGTGGCCTTGTGGGCAGCACCGCAGTTGGCGCATGTGGGAGCGGCTTCCTCGATGCTGTCGCAGTCGTCGATCTTGTGGTTTTTGCCGCATTTGATGCAGCGGCTGGCCATGCGGCAGTTCCTGGTGCCGTGCCCGAACAATAGGCAGTTCGAGCACTGAGTGACGCCACGGTGGGTTGGCTTATACCGCTCCCACTTCACTACGATGTGGAACAGTGTGCGTGTCGTATGGAGATCCTTCACGGTTGTGGAGTTCTTCTGCAGATGGACCAAGTAGAGCTGGTCACGATACTTGATGGCCTTGCTGCGGGTCATCTTGTGGATTTCGACCGGCTTGAGGCCGTTCGCCTTAATCTCGTCCATTAAGGTGGTGGTGTCCATGTCGTGGAGCCCGCGCAGCACCACTTTCAGCGGCTTGGTGGCCTCGACATCGTGGGAGAAGTACTCCAGCTTCATCCTGTCCAAGAGGGCCTGGACTGCGTTGTAGTGATTTTCGGCCGAGACCATCAGTTTGTAGCCTTCCGTGCACCGTTGAATGGAGCAGCGAAGGCCCTGCTTAATGTAGAAATCCAGCTGCTCCCATAGCCCGGGAGGGAAGCCCTTCACATAGAAGGGTGGCAACTTAACTTTTTTAGGCACCGTCTCAGGGTCCGACTGCGGCTGGGCTCCGTTCTGCAGGGCGGAGAACGGATTGTTGCTCAGCAGCTTTTTTGCTGCCGATGCGGTGGCGCTGATGTCTTCAGGTCTGGGTCGTTTAGTTCCGGGAGGCCCCGGCTGCGGGTCCGCAACGCCTGTCGGGACGGGCAATGGGGTTTTCTTCTGCTTCTTCTGAGCTGGCTCGGTGGTCGCGCCGTCTCCTGGGAGAGTCTGTTTTCCCGGTAAGCCGGCACTCGCGTTACCGCGCGATTTCTTACCCATGGCTGGGTCAGCGAGAGCGTCACTATACAACGCGGAGCTAATACGACTTGCGAACGAACGAACGAAACTAGAGAGAATTC